AGTGGCTTCCAATTGGAGCTATCCAGAGAGTGGCTTTACATAGCGCTCAGAAACCCTGAGCTAGAGAATCTTAAATCTTTCATGGTGTGCTGCATGGAAATTTACCTGACCTTAGTTGGAGACTATCTGGGGCAGTAAGCATACCATCTGATCTCAGGAAGGAGGCATTATCTCATAGGACTTTTCTTGAAAGGATAGGAGTACATGCAGAAATGCTAGAGACTCTTAAAGCATTGTGTGCCCAAAGGCTTGCGTAGAAACTGTCTGAAACACAGCACAGTATTGATGGAATCCAATCTGTGGATGCATCTGAGTGTTCATGGTACACTGATTTCAGGTTCTTTATGAAGATTGTCGCAATAAAGGAGGAAGCAAAGTACTTCCTATCCCTGGTTGATTCTCTTTGTAGCTGAGCTTAGCTTGACAATTGAAAAAAATTTATTATCAGTAATCCACATCATTAGGGATGGATGAAAATTTTAAAACTTAGAATGGTTCTATTTTTAGCTTATTTTTAGAACCATAGTCAGAATTCCTTAAAATTTTTTTTGAAAGATTTTATTTTCTGTGTATGAGTGCTTTGCTAGTGTATGTTTGTGCACCACATGTGTGCCTGGTGTTCACAGGAGTCAGAAGAGGGCATTCACTGGGTCTCCACCGTGTGGGTACTAGGAACTGAACCCTGGGTCCCCTACAAGAACTTGTTTGTTTTTTTGAGGCAGGATTTCTTTACAGCTTTAGCAGCCCTGGAACTCACTCTGTAGACCAGGCTGGCCTCAAACTCGGAGCTCTGCCTGCCTCTGCCTCCCATGTGCTAGAATGTATATCTGGTTTATAACAAGTAAACTGTAGAGCCATCTCTCCAGTCCTGGTAGGATTTCTTAGATTACTTAAAAGTAAATAAAAACAATTGCAATCTCAGTTTCAAAGCTTTTCCAACTTATTCCCGGACTTAGATCCATTTTGGCTTAATGCCACTGACACTTGAGGAAGTTAGGAAACTTGACAGCTGCTTAAAGAACACCTTACATAGTTTAAAGGTAAAGGTTTTTTCCCCCATAATAAAAATACAAATCTGTGAAAGCTGTGTATGTTTAATGTACATACCATTTTTTTTAATAGAATGCTTTTCACTGTGAACTGATTTTTCACTCAGAAAAGAAATGCATGTCACACAGTGGCACTGTGATTGATACTGAGTATTCTTAAATCATTAGGTGACCTTAAGATGGGCCATTTCAGTAGTTGTTTCCTACATTTTAAGCTATTCATTTGGGATAAATGATAGACTTCTATCTGGGGGGCTAAGTTTTAGAAACTCGCTGAATAGAAACATTCATTTCTTAACATAAATTGCTCAAAAGCTTACATTTTCTGCAAAATCTGTGTTTTCACTTTTTTCTTTTTCTTTTCTTTCTTTTTTTCCCTTCGAGACAGGGTTTCTCCTGGATCTCGCTCTGTAGACCAAGCTGGCCTCGAAATCATAGAGATCCGCCTGGCTCTGCCTTCTGAGTGCTTGGATTAAAGGTGTGCGCCACCACTGCCTGGCCTTCAAATGATTTTTAAAAAGGAAATATATCAATGCAGTCACTGTTCAGGGTGAGAAAGAGGTCTTGTCTGTCTGTGTAGGACGATGTGCATGAGTGGAAGGTGCTTGCAGGGTCCTGAAGAGGGTGTCGAATCTCCTGGAGCTGGGGTTGCAGGTGGGTGTGAGCTACCCAACATGGGTGCTGGGAACTGAACTTGAGGACCATCTCTCCCTTCATTTAAAGCAAAAGTTTGTATTATGTGCTCCTTATTATCTCAAAATAAAATTATCTACTCACATACACAAATTTAATATAATGCTCTCATTATAACAAAATGAACTAAAAGATATTTTTCTAGTAAAATATGCCATCATGATAATGGACTAAACTTCTGTCTGAAATGTAAGCCAGCCCCAATTAAATGTTTTCCGTTAGAAGATTGCCATGGTCATGGTAGCTCTTCACAGCAATAGATATATGCTTATACCTACTTGAATAAGTTTGGATTTAAGAGAAATAAGACAGGATTAATGACTTTACCATTATAGAAGAACAAAATGTAATATACTTATGGTGGGGTCAGGTCAGTGAATCACGGGTGAATGTTTGCGAACTAATACACATGAGTTGCACTGGTAACTTAAGCATGGCATTGTTGTTGATAGAGTAAGTTTTGTAATGGTGACCTTCACTTTTACAGGGTTGAAAAAATTTCCTGTTTTAACAAAGTTGTCCTCAAAAAGAGATTTTTCCTATATTGTGTTTTGTTTTGAAATAGTAATACACTATCAAGTTTAGACATAGACTAGAGAACAATGTGACCAGGTAACATATTGTGGTTGGAGTTTGTGGCAGAGTAAAACCTCTCATAAAATGTCCAGAAAGCAGAATAGCCTGGAAGAGTTGGGTCTTAACGATCCTCTAAAAGGATATATCTCCTCAGCCAGTGAAAGAGTCTATCATCTCCCAGTTTTGTCAGTCTGGAGAGTAGGCCTTTGGGGGACATTCAAAACCCAAATCATAACAGGATGAACATTTGAAAGTTCAGTAGGATAAAATGTAATTGTTCTGTGGGATTGCCTGGCATTGCAGAATGTTTACCATTTTATATACCCACTCCTCCTCTCGAACCACCCAGCTATTATGCCAAGGGAAAATATTTTATCTTTAGGTAAAAGATTGTGTTTGTGCCTTATAGCACCTTCAGTTTATATAACCTCCCTTTTTCTGAGATCTGTAAAGGGGGTGTGTGTGTGTGTGTGTGTGTGTGTGTGTGTGTGTGTGTGTGTGTGATTGAGAGAGAGAGAGAGAGTGTGTGTTTCTGGTAGTAGGGTGATAACAGCTCCTATAACAGTCTTAGCTTTTATGAATTCATTGTTAAGTTTTTGTGGATATATGCCTATGCATGCCTTTAATGGTAGGTTATAGCTTTCATCAGATTCTCAAAGAATTCTATGGCTTAAAATTTGGACCAGATGTTACTTTGAACCAAGCAGCAGAGTCTCTGTTAGCCATAACGTTTGGCTATTTTGCTTATGGTTAGTAGTACTCTTTAATTTTCCATTCTGAGAAGAAACTATGGCCTCAGACTGAGGCTTGCCCAGGACACATTAGAGTAAAGAATCTCTAGTGTACTCTCTGGGTGTCTTCTAATAGGATTCATGACATTGTTTTCATAAGGTTAACATGTCTAAGCATTTTGTTCTGGAGAGATTCTTTGTCCTTTGGTTGTATTATTTCATCTTTACATTTTTATGTTAGGAATATATATTCCCTGTTGGGTAATACATTAAGTACTTTTTTCAGAACACATACAATTCTTAGGAGTTTGTTGATTGAAAATATATAGTTATTTTTAAAATTATGTGCAAGCTGATCAGAAGGGTCAGCTGTAGAGGCCTACCACATTGCAAGCTCCCAGTTACTGTTGTGATTTATGGGCATTGAGACTAGTGAGGAGGGAATGCCTTGCTTTACCCCTTTCAGATGTATTTATTTCTAGTAAAGTGGACAGGTTGGAGGTCCTCCCCCCCTTTTTTAATCTTGATTCATTGTATTGTAGAGATGTTAAATCATTTGCTTCTCAAAGAGACAAGCAGTTTGGGAGCAACAAAGGGTGTAAGGTAGTCTATAGAATGAACGAATAGCTTATACTGAACTAAGCACTTTTTAAATCACCCCACTTTTGTGAAGTACTTTGTTTTCTCATGTTAAGCATTAGGCAGATCTGTTTGTTTCTATTTTCTGCAATCTATAATGAATGCCTCTTTTGCTTTTCTGGAAGTCTTTGTCTTAGACAATTTCCCAACATTCAGTCAAACTATTTATTGAACATAGTTGGTTGGAGAATTTTCTCAATCTGGATTTTAAAGTATGACATTCTAAATAAAGTTTTATAAAAGAACATGATTTTTGTTTAAGATTTAAACGAACAGGGTTAGAAGGTGACTCAGTGATTAAGGGAGCTTGCTGCCAAGCTTGAAAGCTGATGTTCAATCCATGTAAACATACACTCTAAACACAAATATGTGGATGAAAAAAGATTTAAGTAAAAGCAGGTAGGCTTTTATAGTAGTTGTCTTTGACAAATAAAAAACAAAAGCTTAAAATTGTTTTTCAAAAGACCATTTAAAATGATTTTTGGAGTAGTTAATGGTATAGGCTTACCATTTTCTATTTGACATGTTGTTTTTAGGTTTGTCTTCTGCCTTCAAATCAATAAGAAATTCTTGCTGTGTAAACTGGACTGTATAATCTGTCTTGGCTTTTCAGCCAAAAGCAAATACATTTATCTTCACATCTCATAGCCCATTTTAAAAAAATGAGGATATACTGGTTAAGTAGAGCTGGATCAGCTTTTTGATTTCTATGTCCTTCTCATTTTGTTGAGTACAGAACCAAAGCTTTAAGACAAAAACTTTGTATCTAGATATGACACATTATTCATAAGTATGTGAGTGGATGATTGAAGAGAAGCGTGAATACTATTAGCTTTTGGAGTTTTCAGATCAGAAACTGTTACAGTTGGCCTTGTGAATGTGAAGAGGAGCACTGGTGAAGACCACTGGGGAATTCTGTCAGTCATGTGACATGAACACCCTGTAAGAATAGAAATAGAAAGGTGGCTTTTGGTGGAGATGGCTTGTTGCTATGCCCGAGGGCCTGAGTTCGGTTTCTGGTACCCACATAACGGGAGGAGAGCACCAATCCCAAAACATCTTCTGGTCTCCACACAGGCACTGTGGCACGCACTTGCTCATAGGCAGAACACACAAACATGAATAAACGTAATCAGAACGAGAGAACTAAAATCATAGAGTAATTTTGTGGTTGGAATTATCAAAAGATGGAAAAATATAGTTCTTGTTTTTTTTTTTTGTAGAAAATGAGATTGAGATTATATTAATTTAATCTTGAATTCTACTTTTGTTGTGAATCCAGTTTTAATTCTCTTGTTTTTAAACCTTACAGGCCCCTTCACAGATGTAGTCACTACAAATCTTAAATTGCGAAATCCATCGGATAGAAAGGTGTGTTTCAAAGTGAAGACTACAGCACCTCGCCGGTACTGTGTGAGGCCCAACAGTGGAATTATTGACCCCGGGTCAATTGTGACTGTTTCAGGTAGCAGTTCATGCCTTTAATAGTGTTTTCATCTGTTTATTATTTGGCTGCAGTTTGTGTTTAAAGGTGTTCTTTGGGTATCTTGCTATAAAAAAGTTGACTGAAACTTTTTCCCTCTCATTTTGTGTGTGGGTGTATGATTGATTAATGTTAACTTGAAACTTCACGTCTGTTCTTTATTTCTATAGCTCATCACCATATTCTGTGTTTTCACTAGTTTATCTTTGAACACAGCACGGTTTTGTTGTTATAGCATGTTTTGTGCAACTACAGAAGAAATGTTTTGAGTCTTTTGCTTAAAAATGTACCTGTTTTGGGCCCACTTACAAAATCAATGAGTCTTTATGATGTTCAGTGTAAATGCCAACGGGGTCTTGCCTTGAAAACTGCACTGCTCTTCCTCCTTTGTGTATTGCTTACAGTTCCTTATCTGCACCATTTATACCTGCTGTGGAGTCTGCTGGTGCTATCGAAATGTCCTCTGTAAACTGTTCAGTCCTTCCCCAGGCAGCCCTTCTAAAGAGACAGTACTGTGTAACAGCATCTGCCATCGTTGAGAAATAGGCAGCAAGGCTGAGGAGGCTGTGTGTGGCTCCATGTAGCTTACTTGTGAGAGAGCCTCTGGCCTCACACAGAGACTTCCTTTGTAAAACAGTAGTTCTTTTTTTTCTTTTTGTAAATTACAAAGGGAGCAGGAAAACACATGGATTTCCTGTTTGTTATGTTAGATCATGGGGATCAGTTTGGGTAGCATGGCATAGAAATACTTGAATTAAAACCCTCAGTGACTCATGATAATGTTCCAAAAATTTTAACACAATTCTACAGCTTTTATTTATTTATTTGTTTGTTTATTTATTTATTTTATTAGTTTTTTGGGGGGGGGGGGTTCGAGACAGGGTTTCTCTGTGTAGCTTTGTGCCTTTCCTGGAACTCGCTTTGTAGACCAGGCTGGCCTCGAACTCACAAAGATCTGCCTGCCGCTGCCTCCCAAGTGCTGGGATTAAAGGCGTGCGCCACCACCACCCGGCTACAGCTTTTATTTTTAAGCACATGGAATATTAAAATAGCAAATTATAAAAGATCCATTGGGAATATTTTGAAGAACTACAGAGATGTCATATACATCTTAATTACTAATTTATTATCTCCTATCTTATATTTGTGTCACATAGATTTAGCATGCTGATTGAACTCATGGAGCCTTAAAACTTGCAGCCTACTCAGATCTAAAGACATAAAACGTGGATGCTATTGGGATTCTAGAATCAAGAAGTTATGATTTCCTTTGTTTTCTTAAAATCAGGTCTAAACAAATGAATACACTCTGAGTAATTGTTTAAAATCCAGTTTAGAAAAACTAGTTGTATTAGAACAATGTCTCAATTGTCTAAATTAAAATCATCACAGAAATGAATTTAATAATTGAAAGTTATAAAGTTGAGAATGAATAATAATATTTGAGTTTTGAACCCATCTTGATTTTCTTTAAATTTGTGTTACTGAGGTAATAGGAGATAAAATGTCAAAGATAATGTGTCTTTTCTTTTTATTTAGTAATGCTACAGCCCTTTGATTATGATCCAAATGAAAAGAGTAAACATAAGTTCATGGTACAGACAATTTTTGCTCCACCAAATATTTCAGATATGGAAGCTGTGGTAAGTAAGTGTAGAAGTACAGAAATTATTTTTGGAGATAATAGTTTAAAGTTTGGGTTTTGTTTCGCTCTCAAAAATCTTGATTTTCTTCCCAAAATTAAATATCTGTAAGTCTGTCCAGAACAAAATTGAAGAACGGAAATACTTGAAATACTGTTTTCTTAGAAACCATTTAGAAATGCAAACATGCAGAAAAAAGTCATGTGTATTGCTAATGTCATTATCATTCTTTTCATTACATTTTTATTTGTTTGATTGGGTATTCTACGGGGCATGTGGGGATCAGAGGACAGCTTGGCAGAGTTGGTTCTCATTCTGCCTTATGGATTCCTAGGATTGAACTCAGGTCAGCAGTGGTGGCAGCAGGTGCCTTTCCTTCTGAGCCGTGTTTTGGGCCCAGGGCCCAATGCCACTGTCATTTTAATTGATGGCGATAGTAGGTCAGCAACTTCTAAAGGTCCAGGGACATGGACAGGTGATTGTGGCAATTAGCAAGCACTCCAGCCTTGTACCCTAGATGAGCTATACCCTTAGCAGTTTTCTGAGCAACCACGTTCAGCTTTGATTATTCCTTTAGATAAACCTGTTTGCCACAATCTCTTATCTTATGTATTTTTTTTTTTAAGTGGAAAGAGGCAAAACCTGACGAATTAATGGATTCTAAATTGAGATGTGTATTTGAAATGCCGAATGAAAATGATAAACTGGTAAGTAAGAATCATCAGATAGTTGATTATCAGCGTCTGATTTTGGACTTGGGGTGGCAAGTCCATCTAATGAGACTTAAGTTTGAAAAAGCTTGATAATGCTGTTTGCGTTTTATAATATTTTGTTTGACTAAGAAGAAATGCATATTAGTTGGTTGGTCCAAATTTCAGGGTGGGAAGAAACTCTGGGAATACTCTCAAATCTTATTTTTTAGATATGCATACATAAATATAATTAGGAAAGATTGTATTAGAACCTCTTTTTGAGTAACAGTAACAACATTCTTGGGATAAAATATAATTATAGGAATAAGTGGGTTTTTTTTTTTACAGTTTAGCCTTTGTGAAATATTTTGATTTTTTTTGTTTTTTGATTAAATTCAGTTTTATTAGTAAATGGTTTGTTTTGTTTATTGATTAGTATTAAGCAGTTACACTTTTGTGGCTTGAGGGATAGATGTGTTTAGTAAAAGCAGACCAGTGGCCTGTGGTCTGTTGGGTGGGTGTGGTTACTTTATTCCTGTCTTCTTTCTGATTTAAGAATTTTATTGTATGCATGTGGTTGCTTTGCTTTCATGTATGTCTGCACCACTTGTGTGCTGTCGCCCTCAGACAGAAGAGGGTGAGGATTCCCCTGAAACAGGTGTTAGAGGTGGCTGTGAGCTGTTATGTGGGTGTGTGCTGGAGATGGAACCTGGAGATGGAACCTAGGTCCTGTGCTCTTAATCACTTGACGAGCTATCTCTTCAGCCTTGTGGATTTGAAGTTTTTCTTATGGTTTGTAGGAGGGATTGTTTTTACGTGTGTTGAAATATATGAAATAATGTGGGTAAATATAATTGGTATAATATGGTTTATAGTGTCACATGATTCTTGCTTTGATCTAGTAACGTATTTGCTCTGTTCAAAAGTAAACTATATTTAAGAAAGCTGAAATGAAGATGCTCTTGAATGTTAATTAGGTATTGAACAAATAACTCATTGAATTTTCAACACATCCTTTTAAAGTGAATCTGAGTTATAATAGCCAAGAGTAAAAAGTATGGTGTTTGTACTTTTCCATATTAGTTTCCTTTTTCTTTTTGTTGGTTCAAAAATGTTTAATAGCCTCCATTGCTTTTTACATTTAATAACAAAGTAATAAATTTATCTGGATTGACATTACTTTAAAATTACATTTGGAGGTTATTTCGCTTGAGGGTTTTTTGTTTGTTTTTACCATTATCTTATAATAGTTTATTAAACACAGATCTGTTTATCTTTCATTGGGTGTTATCCATTATACTCTGGATATTGGACAAGTTAAGACTGAAAAATTAAGTCTGAGGAAGTTAGAGCCAGGTATTAATGTGATTCAGAGAGGTTCTTACTGCTTTGCAAGCCAGCAAGAAATTGATAGGCAGTTGAGCTTGTTTTCCAGACCATGAGGAGGAACAGGCATGTGGACATACCAGAGAAGCCAGCCCACAGCTATGGAAGAAAGTACTGGGGACCCATTTTACCCCTTGATCAGATACTAAGTGAATCCTCTCAGTTTCTCTGCTGTGAAGCAGAACAGTAATTTGTGGCTGGATTCTTTCTAGAATAGGTACCTATAACCCAAAGGCTGGTTAGTAACATCAGAGTATTCCTCGACACTATCAGATCCCAAACCTCCATAAGTTAGCAGCAGAGTGTCTTCCTGTTATTTGGACTACTTATATTTGTTGTATATTAAATTGGAGCATCTGCTTATAAAGCTTTTTGTTTTTGTTTTTTGTTTTTTAAAAGCTAAGGATTAGACAGAAAATGACATACATTAGAAAGAGGGGTATACTCTCACTAGGAGTCCATGACCAGCTTTTATAATTGCTAGGTCATAAACCTTTGGGTTTTACTTGTCATCTTTGTAGCCCAGAGAATTGGTTATTTTTCCTGCCTCAGCTTCCCAATGCTGGCATCAAAAGCTGCCACCATGCTTGGCTTTATGTATAATTTTAAGACACATCCTAGACATTTGATTTTATTCATTAACATGTGTAATTCTCTAAGGACTTACAGACCCACGGAAGAGTTCTAATGTTTTCATATTATACCTTTAAATTTTAATGTGTTCACATTCATTAAGCTGTCCAAGCAGCATTCAGATTTGTCCTCTAGATGTCATTAAAATGTCCTTTTTTGTAGTCTGTTTGAATTGAAATTAAAAGGAAATCCAAACAATGCAGATGATTTATATCTTTAATTTAGTGGCCTCCTTTTTGCTTTGCTTTCCTAAAAGTAATACATGAACTAGGTTTGCCTATAGACTTTGCTGCATGCTAGGCTTGTTTTTTTAAGATACTTATTTATTTGTGTATGTGTTTGCCATGTGCTTGTGAGTACCTGCAGAAGTCAGAACAGGGTGTTGGATCCCCTGGAGCTAGAGTTACAGACAGTTGTGAACCACTTGGTCCTGGGGAAGAGCAGCAGCTGTTCTTAACCAGAGACATCTCCCTAGTCCTCCACATGATAGGTTTGTATGATAGCATTCTCCTGTTACGTAGTTTCTTTGTCTAATATTTCGTATTGGAAGTTGGATCCTAGAAGCTTGATCAAATTTAGATTTGTTTTTGGTGGTGGTTGTAGATGTTGTTGGTGAAGTGCATAGCATTAAAGTTCAGCTACAGCATTTAGGTGAGTGATTTTCATCTAATAACAGTTTACAAAGGCAGGTTATAAGCTATTTTATCATTACTTTTTGTTTGTTTGTTTGTTTTTATTTAAAGACAGGGTCTCTACATAGCCCTGACTGTCCTGGAACTCACTATGTAGACCAGGCTGGCCTGTAACTCTTAGAGACCAGCCTGCTGTGATTAAAGTTGTCTGTTACCATGCCTGGCTTAATTAACAGTTATTGTAAAAAATATATTTTGAAAATTTCATACACGTATCCATTGTATTTTGATCATATTTATCCCCCTTTCCTCTTGGGTCTCCCTGTGTGTCCCCTTTTTAACTTTATAGTTTTCCTCCTATTTACAAGCATATCTCTGCTCTGGTGATATATAAGCTTTACCTCCATTTCCTGTCTCCCCTCCCCTCTTTTACTTGCAATATAATTATATATAATGGATTAGTATACATAAAAAGTATAATTCGGGGCTGGAGAGATGGCTTAGAGGTTAAGAACACTGGCTGTTCTTCCAGAGGTCCTGAGTTCAATTCCCAGCACCCACATGGTGGCTCACAACCATCTGTAATGAGATCTGGCTCCCTCTTCTGGCCTGCAGGGATACATGCAAACAGAACACTGTATACATAATAAATAAATCTTTTAAAAAAAAAAAAGTATAATTCATGCCTTCAGAAGCTGGGGAGATCCCTAAGTTGGTATAGTGCTTTCAGGTACTAAGACCTGAGTTTGAATCCCTAGCACTCATATAAAAAGCACAACAGGTGCTGTGTGTATCTGTAACTTCAGCACTGGAGTTGTCTCTACTGACTCCCACTGGAGAGGAGACAGATCCCTGGAGCTCACTGACTCCATCCTTGCTGAATTGGTGAAGCCCAGGTTTAGGGAGAGGCCTCTTGGAAAATAGGGTGGAAAGAGATTGAGGAAGACACCCAACCTCAGCCTTGGGTTTCCATGTGCATGTCACATGCACATATATGAACCTGTAAATACACCTGTGTCTCTCTCTCATGCACACACATTCAAATAAGCATTTGTGCTCTGAAGTCATACAATTACTACATGTCGGAGCCTGCAGACAGTCAGCTGGGTAGCTAGGTAGAGGCATGCGGGTTGTAGAGACAATGAAGAAGACAGAAAAGAGTCGAGAGGTCTGCTGGTCAATGCCAGCAGCCCCGTTTATTTCACAGCCAGCTTATAAAGTCTTGAAGGACAGAGGTAGAACAATGCACAGTACAGGCATTCAACCACTATCTATTCTGCCTTGCGTCAAAGAGCAGGCAGTTTCATTTTGTATCTCGATGTACCTCCGGCCGGCACCAGCAGCCTGCATCTAGCTAGATAATATGTTCCTTCCTGTGGGCTAATCAGGACTTTCTCACAGCCCTTCAAGGAGACTCTGGACTAATCAGAACTTTCTCACAGTCCTTGAGCAAACAAGCTTGAACTCTGTTGACTCAGAATAGACTTCAGATTCAAACTGGGAAACTGAGTCAGTTGTGAGCTGCCACAACTACATTATTAGATTGGTTGGTAGGAGGCTCTTCAGGTTGGTTCTTGAGCCATTTTGACTCAAGTAACCACTAGTAACCTTAATTTTTAATTACATGTATTAGTTGTATATAATAGGTTTCCTTGTTTTGTCTTCATAAATGCACATTATATGTTTTGATCATATTCATCTCCTATTGCCTCTTTTTTCTTCTGCCCACTCATTAGTTCCTGTTTTTTATCCAACTGGTCTTACGTGTGCTTTCATGCCTTTTTCATTCAGGAGATGACAGGAGGATGGGTGCCATTTTGTTTACAGGGCTATGTTCACCTTTGTTTTTTTTGGTTTTTCGAGACAGGGTTTCTCTGTGTAGCTTTGCGCCTTTTCCTGGAACTCACTTGGTAGCCCAGGCTGGCCTCGAACTCACAGAGATCCGCCTGGCTCTGCCTCCCGAGTGCTGGGATTAAAGGCGTGCGCCACCACCGCCCGGCTTTTTTTTTTTTTGTTTTGTTTTTTTTTTTTTTTTTGATGTTCACCTTTGTAATGATCAACCAAGAAAAATGTCTCTCCTTCCTCAGCAACAGTTAACCAAGTGTAAACCCTCGGGATGGAGTGGGGCTCCATGAGCTCTGCAGCTTTCTGTGATGGATTTTGGCAGGCTCAGTCCTGTGGATCTCTTGTGTAGGTAGTCACAGCTGCTGTCAATTGAAGAGTGTCTGTCACATGCTTGTCTTGCTGGGAAGTCAGAGCTTCACACTGCGCTCCCCTTCTTCCAGCATTAACATTTTTTTTTCCCGTGTGTTTTTCCTAGAGCTGTGGAGAGGATGCTCTCTATGTCCTGTGTGGATTAGCATT